GTAAACCTACATAAAGTCTGGGGTAACGCAAAAAAATGACCTGGCAGCACTGACTCGAGAGTTGAAACTTATATCGTTTTGTGTCGTGCGTGTGAATCGTTTTTGAAATTACAGCGTTATTTTGGTGAGTCATTTCAGATACTTTGTGAAAAAATATGTTTTATTCGTTTATATAAGCACTAATAAATTACATATAACTTAATATAAATCAAGTAAATATCTGCCAAGTTAATTTGTTCATATTGCTGTCGAGTGTAAAGATGAAAAAGCAACTTTAAGGTAACTATTGAAAGATAAATGTGCTTTTCTGATGATAATCAGGAGTCTGCATGAAACTATAATAACAACGGATTCACAGAAGATTTGAACCTGTTTTGCCAAGGTCGTAAACTCATTATTTGTTACTGTATATCGTATTTATTATCAGAGTAGTATCTAATTACAAAATTTACAGTTAAGTATAAGGATAAAGTATACCATTTGTTGAAATAAATATACATGTATTAATTTAAAATTTTGTTATTTCATAAATTGATGGCAATCCGCTACAGCTTTATAAAGCTCAGGTTTACTATTTAGTTAAAATCTCAGCGTTAAAAACAACGTCTAGCACAACGTTGATACAACTTAAAACTTTATTATCTTTCAAAAATTTTTATTTGATTAAATCTCTTGCTATAACCTGTGCTACTCTGCTGGAATATGGTGAGTGTGATTTATTGACAACGTCAGATATAATCGCCATTCATTATTAATTTAAAAAATTATACAGTAATGAATTAAATAAACCTTCAATCAATAGGGTTGCCAAACATTTGAATTGACGCCAGCAGAGAAAAAAAACAACATTGCGTGACATCGATTTTACAACTAATGTGTAGGTATATTAAATTACTTGTCTCTATTATTGGAAATGTAGAATTTGTACTTTTTATGTTATGAACTTATAACATATTCTCAATATGAGTGTTCCAATATAGGTATATATTTTAACTGTTAATAGTTGGAATGCTATTATTGACTATTAATAGTTCTCATAACATTCAAATTATTGTCTATCGGTTAAAAATGTTTGCTTTAGTTATGACATTTTCTTAAGTAACTATTTTCTCGACTACAGATACGGTTATTAGGGTAACGTAGTAAATAAGGAACCCTTATAGTTCCGCCATGGTGACAGACAGGAATTTAAGACTGCAAAGTGCTATCTTAATTGTCGTTCAAATTACATTAGTAATTTTATTTAAATGAAGCTACAGATAAATTATTGAATGTTATTAAATAAATATATTACAAATACTTTCAAATATAAATTACTTTTGTTTCGCTAGTAAAATAATAGTAATTAGTAGGTAAAAATATTTGGGTTTTTAATTTTTTTTATGCGTTTTAATAGTTTATATTTCGATAACTTATCGTGTCCTTCGTGTTGCCTGACACACAGGAAAAAATAACATCATGTGCCTAAAACAACCTATTTTAGGCACATAATGTTAAATTTTTCCTGTATGAATATGTCTAGCTTTAAGTATTTTTCAATAAATATTATTATTACTATTTTAAAATAATATTTTTGTTATATTCCAACAATTTGGTGCAAAATGCTATATACCTATATGATAGATATAATTAAAGAAAAATGCTTAAGAATTCACGAGTCCCAGTGTTTCAAATTTGTCGCAATCCCCTTTAAAGGTACAGCTGTGCTCTCGACTTATGGTTAAAGTCGTTATCTATTAAGGAACGAATAAAAACTCAGTAACTTATAATTAAAGTAATATTTGTGTAAATTTTCGAGCCCGCTACGAACTATGCGATTAATTAGAGAAATCATTCTATTTCTTTTATTATCATTCATATGTTTAAGCAGTACTTCAATCTAACAGTTCGAAAAAACGCACTGGATTTTATGAGAGGTAATTTAAAAATTTAAGCACAATTTACAAAAATCAAAGCCTCCACGAATTATCTAAGCCAATAGTTATTCTGCTCTATTCAATAAATCAAAATTGAAAATTTACACAAAAATCACAGGCGAAATTTATTAGGGCCCTTAATCCAGCACTGTTTAAATACCTACACATGTAGTTTCAGAAATGACGTCATTCATCAATCATCATACACTATTGATATCGAAAGACAACTTCAACTACAGACGTCGTCGCTAATATTAGTTTAGTACAAGTTATCAAAATACATATGTGTAAAAATACACTTAAATTGGATTTTTAACCAACTTCAAAATCGAAAAGGGAATGTTATTTATTTTATCTTTATTACCTATAACAAATGACGGACTTTCTAAAAAGGTTCTTTAGCAGTCAAATAGTGAAAATGTACAGTACCTACATTCAAAAGGGGGTATTAGTAAAACAATAGGATAACCTAGCTACTGATAGAATGAATAATACCAACATTTTCTGAGCTAATCTAGCAGTCATGGAATCTAATAATAGTTCGAAGTACTATTATTTAATATTTCCGGTAATATTCTTTTACTTAATGGCTACTGAATGTCGAAGGGCCATAATCTTCTTAATACATAATTAGGCATTGAAAGCTCGTGAAAGTGTAAATATGTTAATGATGATAAACATCTGAAACTACTGAACCGGTTTTAATCAAATTATTTTCTTAATTTTTTGTTTTGTTTTTCTTTTAATTTATATTTTTGTTTGTTTTGTTTTTAAAGTTATTATGTGATTTATTGTATGTATTCATGCTGTTATTTGTGTATGTGGTGTTTGATGTTAATAAGAAACGTTATCTATTCTATTCAATGTATCTGTAATTTGATAGTTTTTAGGAGTCCGTATCCAAAGGGTAATTATCTGAGAAGCGACTTATTCAATAAAATGCTATTAAAATAGGGCGGAGGCTTTTTGTAGGTCTGTCTGTGCGTCCGTTCGCGGTTTAGCTCAAAAACTATTGGTATTAGAAACTTCTAATTTGGCATGAGTATACATGTTAATTACGCCAACTAAGTGGTAAAGTAGAATTTCTCAAAAAAATAGTGTATTTTCCCTACATGTAAAGTGGAGAGTGGGGAAGATAATTTTTTTCGTCTTCTCCATAGTGTGGGGCATCGTTGGATAGTTCTTTTAAAAACATTGGGAGTGTGGAAAGGTCGCTTTTCGATTTAGTAACCAGTTTGTGATTTATTAAGCTCTAAAGAGTTAATTTTCATCAACCAACTAAACTCGTTGGTAAAAATTCAAACGTTACAGCAATAGTACCTATATATTATAAAATTAAAAGGAAAACTATCACACTTAAGTTGGCTGTACAAGTTTATGAGTAATAGTCGCCCAATAGTCGAAAATTTTAAACAACTCCATAAATAATTAATGTGATATTTTTTACTTTTCTAATGGATAATGGTACGGAACTCCGACTAGCAATTGGTCGGTATTTTTCTCTGAATATATGGCTAATCAAAAGTCGGGTGCAGCCAAGACAAAAGAAATATATAGTATGATTACGGAAAGCGTTTTATTTTTTGCCTATTTTTAATTTCAGAAAGAATGTGCTTCGACGGAAAATGCTTGGGTTGTATCAAGGTGGAGACGGGTTCCATGATCTTCGCGGTCTTCAACGCCGTAAGTTGCCACTTGAATAGTAGAGTTCGTTTCACGAGAGAAGTCTCTCGGATTTCAATGTTTTCGCTTTTATTACGAAGAAATAACAGTTTTGCCAATTCCCTTGGCTTTTTAGTAAAACTGAATATTTAAGGTATGGTTAGTGTAACCACACGTTCCGTTTGTAAGGGACTGTTTCGTTGTGGTATCGTGTATAGTTTTGAGACAGAAACATCTAATTTGTGGTGATCCTTTTAGCGAAGACAAATAAAAATATGTTGACACAAAAATCATCCAATCTTATAAAACTCCAAGCAGAGAGTTAGCGAATAGAAGGATAAAATATTTTGAATTATTGTGACCATCATTATAGTAAATAGGGTACCTAATTTATTGCCTAAAACCTATCTCTAACAGACTTTAAAATCGAAAAGAAGTCGGTAGAGTATGGGCCTGAGGTGGTGCCATATATTAATTTATTCTCTCAACACATAATTATATACTTACACGTGAGTCTTAAGATTATTAAAAATATTTTGTGTCTTAATTTAGTGAGAGACTGGAGCCCAAAATTGGTTTCAGAAGAAACCTGTGTGGCAGGTCACCAAGATCTCCGCACAGATAAAATATAATATAAATAAAAAATCAATACGAAAGCAAATGCAATTGAAATGTTGCCTTTTTATGAGGAGATAACTATGTGTGTTATATATAAATATATATGTCGGCGGGTAGTCCGAATGGGCTATTATGAAGCCCATTTAGATCGTCCATATTGGGGGACTATCTTTCAAATAACACTGCAGGCGTGTATACCAACGTGGATTTGATCCATTTTATCACTTTACATACGAACATATAACGAGATGAGCGTGATGTCGTCCAAAAAAAAGTATCGATGATATCGATAAGTAATCGAGTAACTAGCAATTAAAATAAAAGAAACAAAATCAAACGATTTGTATAACAAAATACGTGAAAGCATTTTGCTTAAAAATACTTAGATAATAAGTTATATTTTGTTGTTTTGTATGCTTTTTGATGAGTGTTTGTATATTGTGAAATTTCATATTATACATTTGTTGTAATATAATATAAGGCTTAATACAAAGGCAAATAAATAATTCTTAACTCAATTTTTTTTATCAGGCTCTAATATTGCTCGACCTACGATACGGTTGTCTAGCAACATTCGCAGGGACCAATCATAAGATGGGTGACCAAAAGTTTACCACCTCGAACTCTTCCATGATTTGGAAGGCACGTTAAACCGTTGGTCCTTGCTGCATGTGTAGTCGTTAAAACCCACCTAACAGCACAGGGCGCGCGTAGGGGGTTGTGGCCCATTCTCCATATGGGATTTGATTTGATTTCATTCACAGGGAAGGCCTGAGCCCCAGTCGTGGGGACATTTATAGGCTGATGACTAATAAGCATTTATTATTATTTCAGGTGGTGTGGGCTATCACTGTTGTTGGATCATTGATTGGGATAATCGTAATCTATTTAATGAATAAGTCCTACGGTTACCAAGCTGAAGTAGGTGATGACAATTTACACGACAATAGTACAGACGATTTTGATATTGGAGTGGGAGATTATCATATGAGTTTAAGAGATAATATGTCAACTCGGAATGCTTATTACATTGTGTACGTGATTTGGGGTAGTCTGATTGGTGTGGGTCTATTCCACTTCTTGTTTGCCGTCTTACTTTGTAATGGCATCAATAAGGTTAGTACAGATTTGAAAAAAAATCATAATTATTAACAGACCTCTTGATAATAAGGATAATGAGTAATTATTTTTATCTCTCCCGCGGGTAGATTATTGAAGAATTTTCAACACGATTTTTTTATTTTTTGTACAATTGAGTTAAAGTGTCACAGGATGTCATAACTTTGTACATTTTCTACATAGTTGTGAAGTAGCGAGCCCCCATTCTTCAAATGTATTATCAAATCCATTTCTTGTTAAATTGAAGCAAAAAATACGTATCTAATAAATCTATTATTATGAGTATACTGACGGACTAAATGTTTAATAATTTGATCCAGGCATCATCCTTATTGACAAATGCCGCCTGTTCAAGCAGAGCGACCAGAGCAGAGTATAATTTTCCCATGGTGTGACCTAACTGTCTCTTTTGCAATGTCTTTATTATTATATTTAATGTGATATGACTGGCCGTTGAACATTTTATACGAGTTAGTGGATACGGTTCTAAGACCAAGTCACACAACATTAATAATAATAAAAAAAATATTTTCTCATCACACAGAATGGCTTACATACTAGTAAGTTACAAACACAGTTGTTCTTGAGGTTCTGGTATGAGACTGATGTCTAAGTTAGATCGGTCACGGGAGGGGGGACCAAAAAAATATTATCTCGAGCTACTCCGTGCTTCGGAAGGCACGTTAAGCCGTTGGTCCCGGCTGCATTTACAGTCGTTAATACCTTCCAATCCGCATTGGGCCAGCGTGGAGGGTCATGGCCCATCCTCCTTAACCATCCAGAAGGAAGGCCTGAGCCCCTGCAGTGGGGACTTTAAAGGGCTGAGTAGGATGATGAACAATGAAACGAGGTATTATACGACAGCGGGCGACCGGAATCCGGGCCCGTCATGACAACTGATTTTATTGCACCTCAACAGTCCAGCGATTCTGTAAAATTACATACCCGAATTCGAATTCACTCATGTGTCCGAGTTCACGTCCTGTAAAAAAAAATACAAAACAAAATTGATTGAACATACGTGTCTCAGATATTCCATCCTATGTCATTTCGAAACTCACTTCACATATGCCACGAAACGTAATTATTAATTCACCGGACACCTGAATGAATTCGTATTCGGGTTTGGATTTTTACAGAATCGCAGGGCAGCTCTATTTTTGATTCACTCGTTTAACATCTTCTAGCCGTATACGACCTAAGTCACGCTCGACTTCTAAATCGCACCACGCCGTTTTTAAATGTTCTTCGTATAGTATGAATTTTTATTAATATTTTTGCCATTTAAATAAACAAAAAAGTGTGAATGTAAACAAAACGGCCATAAAGGTCATACAATAATTCATTTCGATTTCTTTTATTAATTTGCTGTTTTGACGTTTATTCTATCACTCGCTTATAGCGTTTGCTAAACGAAGAGTCGCTCATACCATTCGTTGCAATCGAACATATTAGAAATAGCGAATGTTGAACTAAATTCAGTAGAAAAGGAGCTTATTTTTACTTTTCTCTTTGAGGAGCGCTCGACGCGTGACGAACGATTCATAAATAGAGCTCTTGTGCTTATGTGCTGAATAAGAAATTTACAAATGTATGCCTACAAATAAAATCGTTACATCCATTTAATAGTAGTTTTATTCAAATGTAGGTATGTGTATACGGAATAGTATTAAATTCTATTACAAATACCAACAAACTCGCTACGAGGTCATACAAAGAGATTTCGGACGGCCGGTGCATCGCATTTTGTAGTGATTTTACTGAATTATTTAACATTTTTATTGATATAGTATAATATATCTTCATTACTTATGAAGTAATAGTTCTTCTGGTACAAATTTTGTTGACTAACTTTATTGTAGATAGGAGATATGACACGGTTAGCTTATAACTATTTTCGAAGTTTTCAATAGTCTTCTTTGGTTATTAATATTAAGCACAATTTACGAAAAGCGACCGCTACGAATTATGCCCATAGTTATATTTTCTGCATTATTAAATAAGTCAAAATTAGTAATATATCGTTTATGTAGGATAGGATTTCGAAAGAAGTTTATTATAATCGACTTTTAGTTTCCTTTTTTATTTCTTTTATGTATATTTATTTATTTATATATTATTTACATGTATATTTATTTACATACTATGAATTTTATTTATTTCAGAGAAACAATTCGCAGATCAAGGCATATTTCATATACGGCATAGTGATGGCTATTATCAAATCCATTGCTGTTTTGGTACTTGGTTTGGTTATATCTAGCGGTTTTTTTTCGTTTGTTGCTCCCATTGGTAAGTGAACATTCGCAATATTACAATAGGTACATAATGCATTAAGAATTCATTTCAAAATCCAAGAGATTGGCGCTGCCGGACCGACGGACTCGTTACTTTTGCCTCCAAAGAAAATTACTCATTATTTCTGCGTTTGTCTCCAATCTTTCATGAGTATAGTCAAAACAACAAAACCCCAAATTTCACCAATCGATTTTAAGTCTTAATCAGCTTACAGTTAAATTTACAATTGAATACGGATTTTTTTGTTATTTGATGCTCTGCATATTAAACAAATATTTTTGACATTGTTTCAGTTGTCTACGCTTTTATACTGCATATGATAAAATTGACTATGGACAAGTTTTCGACCGGACAAGTACTCGGTTTCCAAGACAAGCGTCTCGAGGAACAGTTCCGACCCACTCCTTAGAAACTAACACATTCCGACTTTTTTCGTTTTATTGTTTAGTTTCAAAATTGTCTCCGTAAAATTGGAAGCATTGTAGTTTAATTCACTTAACGACCACAAACTAACCAATGTACAAAAAAAGCCTATTTAAGTATGATCTAACTAGACAGATTATAAACTGTCAGTGTTTATTTTTTTGTCGCGACATAACTATTATTAAGAAAGACAATTTCAACGCCGCGCATGAGTATATAAGTAATAAATCATGTAAGATTTAATTTTGATTTATGTATTGTTTTAATTGTTATTTAGTACCTATTTTTAAGCATTCTTGTTGCTATAATCATTTTTTTTTGTAAGTCGATTTGATAAAGAATTTGTTACACGTAATATAGAAACTGCGAGTAATTTTAAGAAACCTGGGATGCAATTATTTCACTTAAACATTTAATTCTAAACTTATCATCCATTGTAATATTTGTCCGATCACTGTTTGTTTTACCTTATTTTTGCACGTTAATTAAGTAGATTTCATATTTTACTAAGCATCCCTCGACGAGTAAAGGTTTCCTCAGTTTTACTCCAGATTTCTTTGTCTTTAGCCTTGGTTATTCTGTCTTTACCGGCTGAGGATACAATAAATCTTATTTTAGTTCACATTCCGAGGCTTAAGTTCATTTTTTGGCTCGTTTCATTGGTCTGGTATTGGTTTATGATTAATTAAAAGAAATTGGCCTTGGTTATTCTGACTTTACCGGCTGAGGATACAATAAATCTTATTTTAGTTCACATTCCGAGGCTTAAGTTCATTTTTTGGCTCCTTTCATTGGTCTGGTATTGGTTTATGATTAATTACAAGAAATTGTACTCACTTCGCGTGCGATTCCTATCTACCAATTGAAATTCACCTTTATATGCACTTACTCAAAAGGTTATATTTATAAAGACATCGAAACTTCTTTTACTTATTCAAAACAACATATCGTTATATTATGACGTTTTACCATAATCGATATTTGTAGAAAGACAATTCGTGTCTTTAGCGTAACTGCGAACTTTTTTGCGAACTGGCAAACGGACTTACAGAAAATAGAGAAACACCAAATGTGTAAATAAATTAATTGTATGTACATGTTATCTTCTATCATTGTCAATTTGTTTTAGCCGAATAATAGTTTAAACTAAATACTAATTTTAAGTCCTAATTTTATTTAAGACAGTACGCGACGTCAAAGAAAATCTTGCACATACTCATGCGTGCACGTACCAAAACATTAATTAAGTGTTTGTTATATTAAATGTATCTTATATTCAAACAAAATTGCTGACTTTTTTAACTTTAAAATAAACTTACGGATGATTTATTGTTCGATTTTTATTTCTTAAATTGTTCCCTGACCTTTTCCTTTATTTATGAATCTATAGGTATGTCTTCCCTCTATGTTAAAGTAACATCATTCCAAGTGACATTTTCTGTATATACCTACTAGCTGTAACCCGCGGCTTTGCCTACGTGGTCCGACGGCTCAGTCTTAAGCTTATATTAATTAATCATCATTAGCTTGCTAGGCCTGCTGAATAGATGGAATCAAATATGGAGGTCTACCGGTGTTTCTGTGGACAATGCGCATTTCTCTATAGAATAGACCTCTTCTATCTATTTTAGTGGGCTGTAGAATCGATGCGTCTTGCAAAAAATAAAAAAACAAACGTTTTCTTAAAAAAAAATAGTCCTTTTATTGAAATTGTTTGTTAATAACGCCGTAATTTTGCTTAAATTTAGACATTTGACTTCTGTGCTTTTTCTGGACTTTCATTTTAAGGGCGTAAAACAGCTTGATGCTTTGCTTGTGTAAGATTCTATGACTGATCATCAAAGTAACTTAACGATCAGCTTGTTCTTGCTTACTTAATTCAGAATTTTCAGATTTAAGTGCGTGACGCCAAATTTAATTTTGCCAACGGATATTCTGCCATCTCTTCAATTTGCTTACAAATTTACTCCTCTATTTTAAAATTACTACAAAATAATATTTTATATAATAAGGACGGATGTGGTGCGCGCGCCCTCTCGCGCCGGCGTCTCGATGTTGAAGAATGTATAGTTCGGCTCTCGTCCTTAGGCTGGTAGCTCAGGCGAAGTGAAGAACTGAAACTAAGTTTGCCACTATCCACTCACTAAAGCTAAGACACTAAGAAAGAATGATGACCTACCTAAGTACCTCTATCTATTAAGTAGGTACCTCTGTCTATTAACTACTAGCCAATGCCCGCGGCTCCGCCCGCCTAGTAAGGTTTTTATGGGTTCCCG